CTCCCCCCCCTCTCTCTCTCTCTCTTCTCTCTATTTCAGTTTGTTGACGATTCCCATTCTGGCTTCCCGTCTGCATTCTCTTCATGTCCTTCGGAAGTGTCGCTTCCTCCTCTTCTTCTTCGGTGCCTTGCTGGAAGGCTTCCTGAATCTATTCTCTTCTCGGGTCAGCCGCTTGTAATCTTTGAACGAGCTCAGCCTTTCTTCCTTGCGTCGGCAGCCTTAGCTATCTCATTGCCCATTTTAGTTGAACTACCGTTTACGAATTCAGATGCATGCTCATTCACACGTATTCATGCGATCGGTTACACCACTCGCACATAGCAGAGCAACACGGATTTCTCACTTGCACCCAGCAAATTGACGCGATTCTCTCGCTCGCGCACGGCAGAACAATACGGATATATCACTTGCACACAGCGAAGTGACGCGATTCTCTCGCTCGCACACAGCACAGCGATACGGATAGCACGGATTTCTCACTTGCACCCAGCAAAATGATGCGATTTTCTCGCTCGCACACAGCAGAGCGATACAGATACCTCACTCGCACACAACAGAGCGATAAGGATATCTCGCTCACACACAGCAGAGTGACGCAGTTCTCTCGCTCGCACACAGCAGAGAGGCACGGTTTTGTCGCTCGCACACAGCAGAGTGACGCGGTTCTCTCGCTCGTACACAGCAGAGCGATACGGATATCTTATTCGCGCACAGCAGAGTGACACGGTTCTCTCGCTCGCACACAGCAGAGCGGCACGGTTTTATCGCTCGCACATAGCAGAGTGACGCGGTTTTTTCGCTCGCACACAACAGAGCGGCACGATTTTGTCGAGTCGTTGACGATTCTGAGCGTTCGTTCTCCCGTTGCCTTCCTCTTCTTCTTCAGACGTTAATGGCGGTTCTCCTGCATGCACGTACCACGATACTTTTCTCACTTTTCTCTCTTTCCTCTTTTCCGAACTCACTTTCGTTCAGATCCCACTTCTGATGATTTGTAGGAGACTTACGTCAAGAGATATGAGGAATGAATGACGACTCACAATATATAGAAAGTATTAAATTGACAATTTATTCGCACTCGTGGTTCATAGCGTTCCGCTCATGTCTCAGTGGCCATACCTTCTTCTTCATCTTCGCGCGCCCCCCGTTCGCTATATCATATTGGTACGCAGCGACGCCCCGCAGTCGGTATTACTTATCGATAACCGATCCGCTACACGTATGAGAGTTGTGACATATTTTTCAAAGATGAAATAGGTTTTGGAATAGTTGCAAAACTGCTTTTTTCTGCTGAACGTAATTATTGATAATGAGTGATTAGATAATAACTGCGGTAATTTATGATATAAGTTTATATCTACATTCAAGATAAGTATAATAAATGGACAGTATAAGAATATTCACGTAGCAGTATTACGTTCAGTCAGTGCAGTCGCTCTGTCATAATCATATCTGGGCAATTTATTAAATTCTTTTTACGATACACAAAGCAAAGTTTAACATTTTTAGAAATGATTATCAATCCACTTAATGTTAGACTTTTATTAGCATCTATAAGTTCAATATATCTAACAGAAACACCAGTAACTGAAGCAGAAATAAAAATAAAAGAAAACATACAAAAATTGTTGCTAGATAGTATTTTTCACTATAATGGCTTGGAAGTAACAGAAGAAACATATCTCGATTATCAAGAACCTTATGAACTACATAATTCTGAAATAATTGAAGATGACGAAGAACCATGGATTGAAGATTTTTAATTCTCATCCTCAATGTTCAGATGATGACGCAGACTTTGATAGTTCATAACTATCAAAGTCTGCGTCTAAAAGACGAGCTGTTGAGTATTGGCGGAACTGGGACATTAATGACAAAAATAACAAAAGGAATCGTCCACTAAAATCAGTGCAAAATAAATTTAGAAGAGTTTCATCTGAACGTCAATTAAGACGATGGGAAGAACAATTATATTCAGGTAGAAATCGTATAGAAAAATTATCTTACATCTCCAAATTTATACAGGGTGCGGCATCAAAATCCGGAAAAATTTCAATTTAAATTTTTCGCTATATTGTGCCTCCGCCAGTGGTTGTTGTTGGCGTCCAAGAAAACTTGATGTTTGTAGTAAACAGTTATATTATCAAAATGGCCGCGATGTTGAAACCAAGTGCGGAGTATAACCGAAGATCCGCGATCATCGAAGGCCTT